TGTATTTGGGAACGAGTTTTATGACATTTCATGCTCAGTTTTCCAAAAGTAAGAAGCATAGTGAAGCATCTGAAGTTTTAAATGCTTATCCAAAGCAAACCTCTGGACCTCCTCAGTTGCACTCATCACTAGCAGCTTGCACCACACATTTTCAAACTGCACATGGCCTCTTTACATTTTCATAATCCTGTCACTGCATGAACATTTCTCTCCCTTTTCACATCTAAACTCACTTCCCTGATGCTTCTCTCACCTTGTGCTGCACACAACTTTCTTTTAAAAAATCTTTGTAACATCTGTACTGCCACTCTGATTTCCTCAGCAATGTTCCAATTCCTTTGGTTGTGATAAAGCACTTGACCTCCAGCCTCCTTTTTCTCCCCCCTCGGGAACTCTATTATTGCTTCATAAAGGAGTGGCTGGTGATATTACTGGCTAATTAATGTCCACTTATTGTGAAGTGCTGCTGCCATCTTCAAGCCCCTGTAGGCATTTTTCTTCTTCTGTATAACTTAACCAGATGGTGTGCTGGCCAACCTTCTCCCACCCTTCACGAGCCATGCACTTTACTCAGATAACACATCTAACAGCTCTGAACACACAATGCCATTACAGCTGGGTAGATGTTAGACATGTTGCTATTACTCTTTCCAGGGGACTGAAGATGAAGGAGTTTGGTTTAGAGGTTCTTTCATTCAACATATTGCCAACCTCCATCAAGTACTGGTTACAGTTCACAGCTTCCCTTTTCAACACTGTCTTTTTTTCCCCTCACCTGCAGCAGCTAATATGGCAGGGGTGGCCAAACTATGACTCGGCTCTTTTACAGTTAAAGTGCGGCTCATGGAGCCCCCCACACCTCTTTCCCATTCTCCACCTACCAGACTGGGGGGAGGGGCAGGGGGAGCTCGGGGCTTCTGCCCTGCAGTGGGGAGGGGGATGTCTCAGAGCTTCATCCCCGTGGGAGGCGCCTGCCGGGGCTTGGGCCTTCAGCAGGAGTGGGGCAGAAGCCCCGAGCCCTGGCAGGTGCGACCGGTTCTAGAACTTCTGAAAATTACTGTATGCGGCTCCGAGAGTCAGTGGGTTTGGCCATCCCTGGAATAGGGTAACCATCCTGTGGCCTGAAGTTTTAAGTAAATAGCCATGAATGTTCCCCAATGACAGACCAGCAGGTAATGCTCTAATGACACAGCAAATACTTTGAATTCATTCCTCACATTGCTCTGCTGCCAGAGAACAAGCACATCACCTCTGCATTCCACAGACGGTCTTCATGGACCCACAGAGACACAGGTTTCAGGAGAGCATGCCTAAATCCAGCTCTTACTAATGACAGCTGGCAGCTCAGAGGTGGTTTTGGAGTTAGGAGGTGGGGATGAAGTGACATCCCTTGTTTTGGTAGTCTCCCACATCCTATCATATGTCCAGCCAAGGACTGCTAAGAAGCATTTGATCAGATGAAAAGCAATTACTTCAAAGAGACAGCTTATGTGCTTAAAGTTAAGCACCTAATTATGTGCTTTGCCAGACTGAGGCCAGTGTTCAGCACATTGCAGGATCAAGCCCGCTCCCCATCCTTCCACCCCATAGGCAGAGCATTTCTCCAGCTCAGCTCTCTCAACGGAACATAGAGTTTATTCATTCAGAAAACCCTTTTTCAAATGTAACTTCAGGAAGAATTTTAGCAAGCCAGAACACAACTACCCAAAGAGGAAAATTTACAGAATACAGGGGATACCTCGTGTCTTGCATGAAGTTCCATCAGATCTTTTAATAGCTACAAGTGATCAGAGGCCATGTTTTACATCTCATCAGCAATACTGTACAACACCTCCAGCTACACAGCACAATATCCCTTAGCACCATACTAGGGCATTGGTCCAGCACTCGTTCTGGAGGAGGAAAGAGTGCCTTCAGCTGATTCACCACTGCCATTTTCTGCAGGCTCTGGGTTTCCTTGGAGGTCTCATTTTCAAGCACTTACCTGGGCAGACTTGTCTTAGATCATGAGAGCAGACCACAGCCAGGAGGAGTATGGCTGATGGCTGTCTGGAGTGTCCATATACCACCCTTTAAAATGCTGTCAGCCTTTTTGAAAATGCAGGGACAATTGAAAAGACAAGATATGTAAACAAAGAGATGCCTTAAGTCTCTCCAATCTGAATGAAAAGATCTACAGAGAGAGAATCTGAAAATAATTACAGTGCTTGGCACTGATCCTACTCTTAAGCCCTTGGAGGGAAAGAGATTTGATTTTAATGGTTCCTAGGCAGGGGTCTTTGTTAGAGAAAATTAATTACCCTTTTGTTTTTAATTAAGTGAGCTTCATGTGAGTTTATTTTCAGATGGCATCTGATTAATGATATTTCAAGTTTTTCCCCTGCTCCCTTTCTCCCTACCCCTTGATATGGAAGAGCTGTCCGTGGCCAATGCTTAGGAGTAGAAAGGACTGATCGCTAAAACCTTAGCACAGTAACCGGGAGGGGAGTCAGGCTCATTTTACGGCTGGTGAGCACAGGCCCAGAGAGTTTAAGACCAAAATTGTCAAAAGTGCCCACTAATTTGGGGGGTCCTGCAGACAACAGTCGTCCTTCACTACACAATCCTGATTTCTCGCTACAACAGCTCCATCCTGTACACTGAATAAAGCAGGGGAAATTGTATGTGACCATGTAATGTAATTCCAGGTTCTGGAGAGAGGGTTTTCTAGTGGTTATGGAACCTTCTGACCCTGTAACCCTAGCCTATCCACCCACCCAGGCTCCTTCTTCCTTTCCCCTTCTATTCCCATCTAGCCCCACACATTGGTTCCTTCCCCACTCATTCTGCTCCTATCCATCATCTCCATCCTTTTGCTCCTGCTCCCTCCCTCTGTGCCAATATACTCTCCCACCCACTACCAGCTCCTAACCCGACTCCTCTGCTCCACCCGCTTCCAGTTCCTGAAACGTGATCCCCCTGCTTCCACCATTTCTCACTCATCTGCTTTCTAGCCTTCTCCTCCTCACTGCCTGGATGTAAGCAGCAGAAGCATTCAGAGCACAGGACAGTCTCCCGCCTCTACGTTCTTTATGCCTGGTATTGCAATGCCCCTACTCCCACCAGGAGTAGCAATCACAGGAAAAGTCCTGCTCTGCATCCCTGCATTGAAGCATGCTCAGTATGGCCAGAATCTTCAGATAATGTAGCTGCCAGACTCGAACAAGTCTCTACTGAGCATGTATGAAAATTTTCTAGAGGTTTATAAGGTGGCCACATTTGAGTGAATTTTCATGGAAATGGCAAAAGGCACATCTCTGGAACCAGGCTGACTAAATTTCAAGTCCCTGATCCAAAGCTAGAGCATCTCAATGAAACGTTGTAAGATTTTTTGTAAAAACAGGCAAAACAAAGTACTTTCCCCTAATCTTCCCCATTCTCGGAAACAGCTGAACTGTTTTAGTTGAAACTTTCAAAAAAAATTAATTTGAGGCAGACTCTTGTTATGGAAAATTCCAGCCCAAACAGTTAAACTTTGACAAAGTTCTAAGCCACTAAACACAGGGTTCTATAATTGGAAGTATCGGGTAACCTTAACGATAGGCAGCACGACCAGCTGTACCTGCAATAAATGAATCCCTCTGAAAAACACCATTGTTGTATCTATGCAAATGTTTCTTTACACATCACTTTAAACAAAATCTGTCCTCACAGCAGTCAGAACATTTTCCCCATGTAATTACCTTTATTCCACTTGGCCAGGGTTTACATTACATCATTCTAATTTATTTCTGCTTCACATGCCCCAAGTTTAAGGCCCTACATTCTGGCCTGGGGAAAGCTGCAGGCTCTCCCAAGCTGTTTAGGTTTCCCTCTGCAATATTCACAGTCCCTATCATTCTGGGGAGCACAAGATCAAGGCCAAGAACTGAACCAAAATATTCCCCATGACAGGGCAGAGTACTAACCAATGGACACTGTGGCGGTCCGTTTTCACATGTACACATATAATTGATCTAAGAGACAGGAATTAACTAAAATTCAGGCTATAACAAAGTCCATGTGATCTGTATATATAATTGCTCTTTCCTTAGGCAGACCTGGGTTTTCTCCCCTTCTCCTCCCCCCCCCCCCCCGATTGCGAGTAACTGGAAATGTAAAAGAGAATTGATGTAAATCAATCTAAATCAGTTGCTATAGTAAAAAGGTGAGAATTCCAGAACTAACAAAGGAATTCAGCAAGCCTCCTCCCATTTAAGTTTCAATGGGAGTTGTGTGTCTCTTCATTAGTGTTTGAAAAATCTCAACCAACAAGCAGCTGGGCTCCACTTCTGAAAAAGGTGGAGAGGGTGGGGAAAATGAAAGATACATGCACACGCAAATACACACCTTTTATGTAATGAGCGTCAATTAAGTCTGGGGTGTAGCCTAAAGAATCATCTCATTGACCCTCCCCAAATCCTTAAACTGGCCCTGAACATCATGGTATGATCATGGTGGATAGGAAGCTGTTACATTGTGGAAGTGGGACAGCAAAAAGTTGTCTAACAGGCCTGCCCCAAAATGCTAACCTTGGCTCTGATCCCTTGGAAGCTGTGGCCTATATTTTCAAAATGACTAGTGATTTGGCGAGCCTCCATTTTGGGGTGATCAACCTGGTGCACCTTAAAGAGGGCTTTTTTCAGAGGTTGAGCATTCAGGTTGTTCTGAAAACCAGGACCTTTTAAGATGCCTCCAGTTTTGTAGCCCAAAATTTGACATATCCAAAATCACTACTCACTTTTGGAAATCTGGACCAATGTTTTTAAGACTACGGAAGACTGAAAGCTGGAGAAAGAAAGGAAAGGAAAAGCAACAGACAGAGAAAGAGGATGAAGCAGAAGGAAGAAGTGGGGGGGAAAAAGAAAGATTCCATTTCATCCTGTCACTGTAACCCACTACATTTTAAAAGACCAACTAAAAGTTGTCAGTCCTGATGGCGACGGTGCAGCATCAAGCAGAGAAATGCAGAGGGCTCTTACTGCAGCATGTGTGTCTGGCTGGCGTCCTTTTGTTTGTCAGGTACCTCGTAGTGCGGGGAAATCTTGCCAAGGCCACTGTCACTCAGCATCCGCTTTCGGACTGCAGGGTTCCACCGATCCGATATTCTAAAAACACAAGGAAGAAAGAGAAAGAGATGAATTCCACAGCGACTGCTTTTCACTCTCCAGTTTGAAGCTCCCTTATACTCATTCATTTGCAGTACTTTTCTAGCTGGATTATCCCTACATAGCTCATTGGGAGAAGTGAGTGTGGGGTTTACTTCAGTGTGAGCATATATTGAGCCAACAACAGGACAAGGGGAAATGGAGACACTTCATTGTAACTCCCAGGTTCACAGGTCAATTTAAGACTCCATGTACCAATATCTGAACCTAAGCCCCATAGAGAAAGAGTCTGTAATTTGATCAATGGATCTGTTTACCCAACTCCTTACTTTAATATCTGCCTTTTCCTCTTCCTACTGTCGGAGTGCAGGAAGGGAAGAGCCCACTCCTGGAAAAGCTGCAAAGGCCAGAGCCCAGCCTGGGAAAGGAACTACTTACCCAGAGGCCTGCTCCACTACCAGATCCGGCATTCCCGGCGGCGTCCCCACCTGCTGTGATATCACCAGCTCTGGGTCCAGGATAAAAATCTCGTCCTGAGAAATTTCCGTCACAAAGTGCAAATGTTCCTTTTAGAATGAGATAGAGAGTTAATAATGAGTCACCAGCAATCTGTCAGGAGGCCAAACTGGCTATTAGAAAGCTAGGTGAAAATTGGCCCATCCTGCAGGATTTCCCCCTCGTCTGCAGCAAGTATCAATTCCGTAACAATGCTTACAAGGCTGGTTCCACCTTGTCTCCATTGGTCTCTATTCTACATTCCACCAACAACTGAGCAACACCTCCCAATAGACAACTGAAAGATCCACAGAGACTGCTGACACTGACATTTGTGGCTAGACACTCCTGCCAGTGTTCAGGATTGAGGGCTGCCTGGAAAGCCAGAACTGACCTTCCTTGGCACAGAAGAACATTTCAGAGCTTGGTGGGACTCTCCCAAGCCATTTTATTTCTTTTGTGCCTAGTTAGTTAGTTAGTAAGTTAGTGGGGGGTTGCATCTCCATTATCACTGCCCCTCTCCTTCCAATTCCTTGGAGACATAGAAGACAGCTCAGAAATCCCCACCCCTTAACCATTCTGGGAAGTTCAATGTGAGTGTGAGGGAGAGTAAATCTGCAATCCTGTGCTCAGTGGGAAGATCATGGATCCTCACTTTCAACCCCAAAGAGACGGGGAAGGAGGGAGAGAGCAGACCAAAGGGCATCTATAGCTTCATAACGAAAGCTGTGCAAAACTCAGTAGGATCACATCCCTAGAGGTTCAAGCCAACATTTTACTTCACTCTGCTTGTGAGTTTCAGGTTCTCCAAACTTTAAAGTAAAATCTCATCCAAGCAGACACCTGGCTATTTGTCAAATTAGCAACTTGTGTAAAGACATCTCTTCTCAGATGATTCACAGCAATTGAAGCTGGGACCTCTGGTCTACAAGCATGATCCTCTACTGCACAAGCTACAGGACCATCTCCATCAACTTGGAGACAGTAGCAGACCCAGGAGACTTTTTCACATGGTCCAGAAGAAGAACAAAGACACACCTGCCCAGTGTGTTACAGTTCCATGATTGTGATGCAAAACCATTAACTGGCCCATCCTGATTAAAAACTAAGTCCAGGGTCATAAATTAGTCTCACACTCAATTTGAAAATAAAACCTGAAACCAGTGGAGTTTGATAATTGTTTTCTGTTTCTTTATGCGCATTTTATACAGCTCTAAGCATAATTCGCAATTTGTAACATCGTAAGTTCCACAGCTATCCAATGTCATACACAGAAGATTAGGTTTTCAGGTTTGTTATAAACAGCAGAAGATAAACTGATAAATATTCTGTTTGCACACATATGTCCTTAGAAATAGAGGATAAGGAAGAAGAATGGAAAAACTATTTGAACATCAAATTGCTTGTAGATAGAAGTGCAGATCTTCAGTTGGTATAAATCGTCACTGACTTCAGTAGAGCTATGTCAATTTACACCAGCTGAGGATCTAGCCCAAAATATATTTCAGTTTTTCATGAGGCATCAGCAGAACTTTAAGACACACAGGAACAAATACAGATAATTCATTTTAAACTGTGTCTGACAATGCTTTAAAAAGATCTATAGAAATAGTAAATGGATGGAAATTTACCTGAGATCTGTCAATGCGGTAAAAACGATCAGCAGAAGTTGCTGCAAGAAAGGGAAACAGCAGAGCTGTGTTAAAGAAACTGCTCTGAGCAAAACTGAATCTACAATGTAGATTGGACTAAATTCAGCCCTTGAGTAAAGACAACTAGAGGAGTCATGCCAGCTTTTCATGAGGACTAATGTGGAGATTTTAAAGGCAGAGTTTAACAAAACAAAGGTCATGGTACTTTGGATTTTTTAATAATCACAAAAAATATCACACACACGAAGTGAACTTTAAGGCTCACTGTGAAGTTTAATATATTGTATAATAATAATATCACAGCTCTTATAGAGTGTTTTTCATCAGTAGATCTCAAAACACTCTACAAAGGAGGCAAGTAAAAGTCTTTCCCTGCGTTGTTAATACTGCTCAGCAGATACTGCTAAACAATTTATTTGTTCTGACCATATTCATATCTGCTCTTGTTTCCCCCCCACTTTCTGCTAACATTTCCAGCAAATGATTTTATTGAAAGGAATGTTCTTTAAAACAGCAAATTTTAGGAAAATAATGCAAAAGTATGGAAAGTGAATTTCAGATTTGTAATAAGAGACAATCATACCAGAAACCTAATACAAAGAGTTGCCTTTCATTCAGGGAACAAAAAAACCACATATGATTTAAGTGTCCAACCATATCAGCTCAATTTTTTATATCAAATAAATCAAATGCTTGTGAACAAGCTGCAGATCAAATAATTGGCTAATAATTTTGAATTGAAAATAAATTCAAGAAAATTGCAGTCTGTTCATGGCAAAGGTGAAGAGAAAAAAAGTTCTATTTATGAAAGCAGCTTAGATTATTAAAACTGAAAGCATTTGAACTGTCTACATTGTTTTTCACCATCTGTGCTATCTGTTTACCTTATGCATGGCACTTACTTTGGGCAACGAAACTACAGACTTGACAGTTTCACTTTGGGGTTTTTATGCAGTAGCATTTTGCTGCTGTGTTTTAATTTTCAACACTGCAGAGGAAAGTTGAAATCCAAAAAGACCAAAAATGAACCAAAACCAACAACAACAACAACAACATTTGTCTTCAAAGGCAATTTCAAAGGCCTGCTATAAACAGATGCAGCCATACTGGGGGCAAAGTACGGCCAGGAACAACATACTGTTTTAGGGTGACCAGTTGTCCCGATTTTACAGGGCCAATCCTGATATGTGTGGCTTTTTCTTATATAGGTGCCAATTACTCCCCACCCCCGTCCCGATTTTTCACACTTGCTATCTGGCCACCCTATGCTGTATCTTTCAAAAAGAACAGCCGGTGAGGGGGGTGCATCTACACAGCCCATGGCAGCGAGCCTCCTAGCCCAGCTCGACAGACTTGGGCTTGCTCTACCATACAAAAAACAGCTGCGTAGGTGTTGCAGCTTGGGCTGGAGTTCGGCTCTGAAGCGTAGGGATGGCAGTGGGCTTTGGAGCCTGATCTGCAACTTAAAAGCACTGTCTACACAGATATTTTTAGCGCTGTAGTCTGTGGACCTGGGCTGGGAAACTCGCTGCAGTGGGTTGCCACAGGCTATGTTGATCTAAGTGCTGCTGGCCACAGCAGGCACACTAGTCAGCCAGGCCTCTAGCCACACACAAGAGAAAAGTCTTGCTCTGCTTCTGAGAAGGAAAGAAGAGGCACCCTTCTCTTTCTTACCTGCCAAGCACAGCAAAGGGCAGCACCTGGCCTTTACGCTCAGAGTTTTGGAAATACTAGTCTCTCAATGTGTATCAATGACAAGACCTAATCATAGCGCCAGAGGAAGATACACTTACCATCTAGGAAGCACCATCTAGGAGAGAGCCTCTGAACAGAAAGTACTCGTGGGAAGGAACCTTCCTGATCCTGGGTGCGGGGGAGGGAAAAAACATTTAAAAAAAACCTCTTTTGTCTAAAACTGTATTTATTTATTTTTCTTTCCTGACTTTACCCTAAAGGAAAAAGCAAATTAGCCTAGTCCCACTTTCTAGCTGTCAGTTCTTATATGCAAACCCATCTTCTTTGCCAACACCAGTCATATCCTTTGGTACCCATTCCCTTCAGCTCAGAAGTCTCAAAAGCCCAGTATCAAAGCTAACTAAGTCACCTACTATATCACATGGAAATTACTCATTTACGGTGGTGGAGACGATGATGAATATTGAGATGGGAGGGGTCTAAAAACAGACACTGGAGACAAACAAACATGTCAGTAAGGCTATGTCTACACTGCAAAAATAGGTGTGTTCTTAATCAGGTTAGCTAACATGGGTTAAAATAGCAGTGAAGACACAGCAACTCAGCTTTTAACTCAGGTTCGGAGTTTGAGTGAAATCCTGCAGGGCAGCCTGGGCTTGAACTCAAGTGCTAATCTGAATTAAAACCCAAATTATCTTGTTTTCACTGCTATTTTAACCCCAGTTAGATAACGCAGGTTAATACCATACTTTATTTTTTGCAGTGTAGACATGCTTGCCTGTCTTCACCCTGATCACAATGCTTGTACGTTGTGTCCTTGTCTCATTCCCTCCATCTATCTTCATATTTCTAGTCTGTCTGCTCATTAGGTTAGGGACTGTCTTCCTCTGTGTTTGGAAACATTAGCACTTTTGGGTGCCACTGTCATTTGAACAAATAACAATAATCCACTAACACAACCATCCTTCTGGCTGAAGAGAGATGCCTCTCGAAGCCTGGCAACGCCACTACTAGAACTGCCCAGAGGAGAATTACTAAGGAGAAATATGAGGCTTCCCCTGCACACAACAGCACCAAAGAGCTGAACATACTGGCCCTGCAGCATTCTCAGTTTCATCTGAACTGGGGAGCAAAGAACCCAGATTCTGATCCACCATATGGTGCTGTCTGGTGCTGCCACTAGACCAACAGGCCAGCTGATTGCAACACTGTGCTGAATGATTTACCAGCGTAGGAGATGACTCGGTCCAATTAGTCATAAGTGAACACCCAAAACTTCTGTACATTTAGGGCCAAATTCTGCTCTGATTTACATCTACAGCAGAGATGTCCAGTAGGGTTGCATGGAGTGTAAATCAGAGCCGAATCTGGCCCTGAATTAGAATGCACAACGAATAAGGACAACAGACTATGGTGGGTATGCACCAGGGTGCAGGGAATGGGGATCGATAACAGCACAAAGGGGAGGAAAGGCTCCATTTGAGAAAACATTGTTTTACATGGACACCACAGCATGATAATCATTTTATTTCATTTCAATTATTTTTTGTTTAAAGATCTAGCACCACAAAGTGAGTTAGAGAGTCACAGACTATAAAGCCTGGAGGGACCATTATGATGTTCTAGTCTGACCTGCAAAACAGCCCATGGAATTCCACCTAGCAATTCTTGCATCAAACATCTAACTTCTATTGGAGCTAGAGCAGCGGTTTCCAAACTTTTCAGGAAGACCACCCACCAGCTGCATCTTGTCTTTATTCATGACCCACTCAGGGTCCAAATTTGTGGGCCCAAAACCAGGCCAGCGTCCTTCTCCTCCTCTGCCACTGCTACCTCCTTCTCCTTACCCTGCCAAAGGGGTACTGACCTCTCAGAGAAGCACCTTCCACCCTACTCCGGGCCCAGTGCAGAGGAAAGGTGCTGGAGTGGGGATAGGAGAGTGAGCACACCCCACACTCACCCCATAGTGGCAGCTCCGGTCCCACGTGGCTGGGCTGAGCTTCTGGCTCCGGACATTGCCACCTGGTGCATGAGATCATAGCACCACTCAGGTGTGGCCCAGCCACCACTCTGTCATGATGGAGGGGCAGCTGGGCCAAGTTTGAGTGAGTGGCACTGTAACCCTGCATGCCAGGTTGCAATGTCCAGAGGAGGGAGCTAGGCCCAGCCCCACGAGACAGGAGCTGTTGCTGCATGGTGAGTGTGGGGCAGGCTCACTCTCCACCCCCACCCAAGACCTCATCTCCACATTGGGCCCAACCCATCTCCAAACTTCCCATGACCCACCATTTGAGAAACACTGAACTAGAATATATTTTTTTTTAGAAAGACAACCTTGATTTGAAGACTTCAGATGATGGAGAATATATCATACCCCTAGGTAAAGGTAATTACCAGTGATTAATTACCTCCACTGTTGAAAATGTGCAGCTTATATGGAGGAGGAGAAGGAGGCTGCTTAATACACAAGAGGGAAACTGTATTAGGTATAGAAGGTAACATAATGGACGGTTTCTCTTTATTGTGCACAAATAACACATTTGGAGCTTCAATACAGATACTGTCAAGTACTTTGTTTATTTAATAGCGCTTAATTTTTGTGGATTTACTCATCAATATTTGTATCATTTAGAAACGTGAAAATAACATGTATTCCCCTGTGGATAGTTTTGTTTTTCTGCTTTGCAAATGATTATTTGTTTTCCAACTATCTGAGATATTTCTAAGATGTCTGAAGAAACCAAAGAATCTAGGGGGAAGGGAAATGGTGTTTCATCTCTCCATTCCCCTAGGTTGCAGAGATGTGCAAATCAGAATGCTCAAGAATTTGTTGGTTTGTTTGTAAATTCCTAGGGAAAATCTCTGAGTGACCTGAATGAGGTTGTACTTTCAGCTAAACTCTAGATAAATGAAACTTCTGGTTGATCAAATCACAAGTCACATCTCCATATGTTAGTGTGTATCATGCACAGCTTCTTCATTTATCTAAAGGTATTAGATGCTTCCTCAACACTTGGAGTTGTAATAGGGTTATTCCAGTACTGTACACATATACACATTCTTGGCTTCCCCGTTATTCTTGGTCAGCAGAGTGCTTGCATTGTTTACAATAAGCAGTTCCCATGATTAGTGTTTAATGTTTTGATGGACTGTGTCTTTTGTTTCTCAGCCAGGTGGATGCATATTAGTTTGGCACGAGGCAACTGCAAGTTGTTAACAACTTTCCTTGGCAGCCTACCAGCTTTTGTAAGATTCATCTTATTAGCTTCTGCCTCTGAGCTTGATTTGTTCCATCTATTATTGGCTTCCTTTCCTGACTATCCATGAGGAAAAAGCAAAGGCTGCTCTAGACAACTTATACAATGTTTCAGTGCACTCAAAGATTTGGCACTTTGCTAGAGTCCCAGCAGCAAACTTTTGCCTGAGTTGCTACAGGTTTACAGTTTTCACTTGATGAAAAACTTCTTACAAATATTACCCATACCCACCCTCTACTCCACAAAATGTAAAGTTGTCTCAATTCACTCCCAAACTTGCATTTTACTGGAGTCTCTAAGGCTTGGTCTACACTAACCCCCCAAATCGAACTAAGGTACGCAACTTCAGCTACGCGAATAACGTAGCTGAAGTTCGAAGTACCTTAGTTCGATCTTACCTCGGTCCACACACGGCAGGCAGGCTCCCCCGTCGACTCCGCGGTACTCCTCTCGTCTAGCTGGAGTACCGCAGTCGACGGCGAGCACTTCCGGGTTCGACTTATCGCGTCCAGACAAGACGCGATAAGTCGAACCCAGAAGTTCGATTGCCAGCCGCCGAACTAGCGGCTGGGTATAGACGTACCCTAAGTCCCGCATTCCTTTATTGCCAGTGCTTATCTGTCCTTCCCTCCTTTTGTCTTTGGTCACCATATATTTCCTTTCTTGCATCCACTGCCCTATGTTTGAATACAACTGTACACTTAAGTCCTTAAAGAGACATGAGAAGGAAAGCAGAAAATCCCCACTCTGCTTATGCGCATACTTATGCGATGACTTGGCTTAGTGATCTACACATCAGGTTTGAAACACGTGGAAACATGTAAAGCTCCCTGGAACCTGACATCTGTGGCTAGCAGGACTGACTCAGCTCTTATCCTGAGTGCCTCGCAAGTAATAGGAAATAGGGATAACAGTAACAATCTTTCTTCCATCTCAGCTTGTAGGAGAAATAGTATGCTTAGATTATAGAGTTTGTTTGTGTGAGTGAGTGGATGTGCTGTGTGTCTAGAACTTATTGAGGGAAACTATGGCCTAGAGGATTTTTTTGGATTTATTAATGTGTGTGTGTGTGTATACTACTACTTACCCTTTTATTTGACAATAGGGTGAGGACTAGAGTAAAAGAAGCAGGGGATGAAAATGAGGAAGAATCTGAGGTTATTGATGTATATCAGAGGGGTAGATGGTATGAGGAGGAACTGAAGCAGACATGGGGACAGATCCCTGGAACCTATCAGAAGATGCAGTGGAAAGGATAACATTGCCAGGTGGAAACTTAAATCAGAAATCTGAATGTGCTTCCTCCATTACTTCACTGAGGGCAGGCCTGCCTCAGTAGCTAAACCCGGATGGGCGGGTATCACTCATATGAATATGCATTAAACATATCCGAGGAACAAACAGAATGAAAAAAAAATCTAGCAGCAATTTTTGAATGTGCAGCGAGCTCACTGATAAGTTTATGCTGACTCTCCTCATTTCCAACTGCAGAGGAGGCCCAAGAGAGAAATGTAAATGTTTATAAGATTTAAAAGTGCCTGTGAAACCTTATTAGTGAGATATGAAGACAATGCTATCAGCTGAAGCACTTTACTCCTGCTCTTGCCCTGATTTCTCTTCCTTTCCATAATTTATAGTTGGTTGCCAACAAAATGTGGAACAGCCCCCAAATTAACCTAACAAGACAGTTTGTAGCAAGAACCCACTGAGAATACACAGATGCCTGAACCAATCAAGGATAAACAAGCACAGAAGACAAAACATAAAGGCAGTGTCATTCAAAATGAAACATCATAAAGTATTGATTGAGGTTTCAAGCTGACTTGCATTTCCAGAACCAGTTAGGTGATTCATTTATACAGAGCAGATAACTACAGGGGTTAGAGCTACCTCAGTGCTGTAGGGAGGATGAACTCTGACATTTCACTTTGGCTACTCTAGTTTGTGCCTGCATATACATACACACGTAGACCAGCATTTTACGTCCAGCTGTTCCTTTGTGTGAAGCAGCCAGCAGCCAGTTAGGGTAATTCTGGATATGGACTCTTCTATAATGAGCTGAGTGGAATAATTCTCACCATTTTATTGTCTAATGTATAATGTTCTTATGCTCAATAGTTGGAAGAGGCTGACACAAATATCAACAGTACGATGTTGAAATTGGAAGGGGAACAACGGAACCAACAAACACCCATTCAAAAAAGAACTTTCAAAATCATTTTTTTCCAAATGTACATTTTCTATTCGTATCTACCAGAGCTCAGGGCATATGTTGGGGATTATGTCTAACTGGAGTCTATGTCACCCAACTAATCACTGATCCTCAAAAAATAATCTGTTCCTAAACCATAATGCTCTCGTAACTACAATGTACTTGAGTGCTTTCTGTGACGTACTTAATACCCTTAGTTCCTACTGATTTCAATAGGAGTTGGAGACATTAAACCCTTAAAAGGATGCTCAGCATCTTGCGGGTTTGAGCCGTATGGTTTGGATTCTATCACAGTAAATCTTTACTATACCATTAGTAAGCCATTGCCAATGACAAATTAGTGCAGAAGACAATAAAGTCAATCTCAGGTGGGCAGTCCCACTGATATATTCTATTCAAATCCCTGTTTTCAATTTTAAGGTGGTACAGCGGACAGAATGATTAATTTTAAGAGAGCATTTCCTAATATAGAACCAGATAAAATACCCCGGGCACAGTATCCCAGTTATCGCATATGACAACGTAGTTAAGAAATACATAACTGGCCTTCTAAGTTGCAAATACAAATGGAAACCATGCTGCACAGCATTCTGTTTTATGTGCAAAAGAAAGATTTGCATGCACAATTTAGACAACCAGCTTCTAAAATGTATCTGTGTGAATTAATTTAAAGCTGGGATAGATGCACATTCTGATCTGTGTGGTGCGCAGTGGTTATAAATGTTCCAGGGTTGCTGTTTTTAATCTCACTGACATACTGTGTTATTTCAGGCTACTGGCTGTGTGAGATATTATATTATTGTTCCATTTATCAGAAAAAGTGAAAGTATCTATTCAGGTTTAGCCATTTGTCCTACAGGACAAACTCTTCAAAACACTAATTTGAGAAAAAATGCAATGGTGTTGCAGTACAACCTACATTATGATGTTGTGCCAACCCAAAATAATTTTGAGAACAGTTCTACAATCTAGGGTTTGCTACATAAGGGGCTGTGTTGTGAGGATACAGAAACTCATCTCAAACTTTGGGATACCTGGCAATTTAAGGGTAATCTAAGATAACACACTCTATTCAAAGTCTGGCTTCATATACAGAGAATGTAATCTGAATTCAAACATCAATCAACTCTTTGCTGAGACGAACCTTTCTCTATATCTTAAAGAATTAAAACAAGAAGTGCTCTTCATATTTTACCTGGTAGTGAACTCTCTGCGTAGTAGAAGTTACCGACTGCAGGTCCTAACGTGAGAATAAAAGAAATGACAATGACAATGAATCCAAAACCAATTTACAAACTCCACACAAGAGATGCCCACACTAACTCCACCCAATTTATTTATTTAGCATGTGCAACTCCACCCAAGAACAGGGTAAAAACACAAAAGAATTTTGCGACTATTTATTCACATTTTTTAGACTAGTAGCTTTCATCATGTTTGCAACTCTTTTGTGCTCACTTCCAATAAGCATTCTAGCAAATAACTCTACTGGCTGCAGCGCTCGCTCACTCAGAGGATCTGAAGTTAATACTGAGGATATTTCTGGAAAGCAAATTTTGCATTTTGAAATGTTTGGCCCAGAAACCCAATTCTTAGAGCCATGTGAGGATACAAAATTTGTATCTGCATCTGATCTGCGATCCGCAAACATAGATATTTGCATCCGCAGATATAAGAACTTCTAAGAATTACCATATGTTCATCCTAAGAGGGAATAATGACATACCAAGTGACCTGTATCCCCCTATTACAACAGCTCAAATGTAGAATATTCACAACAAACTGTGAGCCCTGCCAAGATACCAAGTGTGGGTATGAAGGGGAGTCATTGTACACTTAGTGGGGCTTCCACTTCCCATCCTGTGAGTAAGTAGGTGGGGAGTGGATGAGCCTTGGCTCCAGTCCATCTCCTCCCACAATGTGCTAACCAGTGGAACTCAGCCACCATAAGCAAGGGAAGTTAAACCCAGTAAAGGGCTGCAGTAACATAGTTCCCCCATAAACTGGAGCCAGAAATAACTCAGGGTCAGAATTCCTTTCCAGGTCTCTTCCATGCTGAGTGAAGCTACTTTCCATCCTTTACTCAGGGCTTTGAGCATGTGATTAATGTAGGCCATAATTTATAATCTGATGGGAAATGTCCTCCAAATCCTCTCCCTGCATCATCACTCCCAAACCTGTCTCCATATTAAGATACAGCACACTTCTGTTTTGTAGTCCTGACATGTTATTTGCATTTTAAGAGCTCCATTTGCTGATATACATCCTAGCCAAAATTTTAAAAATAAATCCTAATCTTAGGCTCCTAAATCTGCGTTTAACTATCTAAATAAGAAGCTTCATTTTCAAAAGGGCTGAGCACTATAGCAGCTCCAACTGGCTTCAAGGGGAGTGGTGGGATGCTTAGCATTTTGGGCCACCACCTCTGATGCCCTCAGTATGGACCTGGGAGCCTAAATCTGACCTTTGTTTTTGAAGATCTTGGACAAAAATAATAGAGACTGATAAAAAACACCTACCAGAAATTAAAAATAAAGTAACAGCTGTTACATCACATTAATGAGAGTCCATTACCTTGGTTCCTAAATACATGTATATTTTAAATTATTTTGATTGTGGCTTACTGGAGCATTTGGCGATTCTGTCTTCGAGACAGAATGTAATGTTTAATCAGCTCTTAGGAGACAGTTTGTCAATAGAGAAAGTGCAGCACTTTTATTAACTACATGGCCCCTCAGAGTCAACACAGGCTTCTGGAAATACCTAGTTCATACTTGGCATGCTCATAGCTTTACCACAGATATGAGCAGAGTCACTTCCATACAGATATTACATCATTTGCATAGTCAGCTCCATTTATCTATCCTTACATGATATCTATCCTTACATGAATAATCAGGATCTTCCTAATCCTAACTACTATTTTTCATTGAAGGACCCACATTATTTTTGCAAGATTCATGGGGTGGCTGTTCTGATCAAATTCCAGCATCAGTAAATACAGTCCACCTACTACCTTTCATTCCTTTCTTTGCTTTAAATTGATAGAGTATTCTTTCTCTTGCTTCCTGCCCTCCAAATATTGTGCAATACTATTCATGAATATATAATAGCTCCCATGTCCCACCCTCGAGAAGTTTCAGTTTCAGGGGTGAGCAAAGTGAAGGATTTCTTATACATTGTGTCTATAACTATCGTTCTGTAACACACTCAGACTTGAGAAAAGTATGTCATAAATCAATAAGTAATAACTGAAATTCTCACTGACTCACCTCTTGTAGCCGGTCAATGTACATACGACAGGCCTCCAAGTCACAATCTCCTCGTATAACTATAATTCCCAGAGGTATGGCTGGGGGCAGCAAAAAGAACCCTTTAATTAAAATCTCTCTTTTTCAAATGTTAAACAAACATTCTCAGTGCATTTTCCTTTTATTCCCCAATAAGATTTTATTATCTACTTTTTAACACCCACCTAGAAACCTGACCCTATTTTTCCTTATCCATTTTACCATTTTGTATTTATCAAATCATCTGTTTTCCTGCGTTGCTAATACTGCAGGTGCTAATATGGCTACAGTGTGTTTACATCCTTCTTTGTCTGCCAACACTATCAATTATGTTGACACAGCAAAAGGAATAGAATCCCAGCAAAGGGGTTATTGGTGTTGAGTGTTTTGTTATGCATTGCAAAAAGCCGTGATTATTTTTTGAAATGAGACTCTGGAGCACCTTTAAAACAATTTAAAGTCAATGAAAAACAAATAACCTTGGAAGCCTAAAAGTTACATCTATTTTCTAACCATTTTTCTTCCACTTACCTCTGACTCTCTCTTTTAAAAAAAAAAATCTGTTTTGGAGCTGTGCACACTGATATGAAATTTTAGGGCTGTTTATGATCTCCAGCATGGGCATGCTGATTTATTAATTTAGGTCTGTGACTGATGTTGATTTTATATTTCTGCATTTTATTTATTTTAGCAGAAAAACAACTGAAGCATTTGTATCAAAGAAAATTTGGCAACAGTTGCATGGACTTTGTGATGAGATACAAGGGGGAAAAATGAGTTCAAATTTTGAGATGGCCAGTCTTGACCACTGATCCTCTAAAATAGACATTAAGCATTCAGAAGCTATGGCCCACCAGATTATAACAAGAGAGGGTAGAAAATGTTCTGTCAAAACATTTTTCAATGAAAAATGGCTTTTTGACACAAAAGAAATGTGTTCACACCTTCCCTTGCCCCCCAAAAATCCACTTTTGCAGAAAAAATATTCACATTTTTGTTAAAAACCCAAAAACACAAAATGTTGTCCCTGGTCCTGGAGGCATCACTTTTAATGGCAGCAGGGAAGTTCAGTCCCTGTAGCTACTCTGTTCTTGGACCCTTCAATGAGCCTGCAAATGAGGGTGCTCACTTGCTTTAGTAGCATCTCACCAAACAAGTAGGAGAAGGGAGACTCGGAAGTACTCGTATTTCTAAAATGGACTCATTTAATAATGTCTTCCCTCTCCCTAGACAGGCTTTAACCAAACAGAGCAGCAGCAACTGGGGAAGCAGCAAAGAAATAGCAGGAAGAGATCAGAATATTCATAGGAAATATTCCAGGAGAGGATGAGATCCTTATCGTCATAAACAATTTAGTTGATTGGATAACAAGGAGTCATGTAAAGTTACTGACAACAGTAGCGTAAATTGAAAAACTAACTGTGCTGCAACAGCAGATGCTCTTGTAATTCAAAAGGATTTGATTAAGAGAGACCTTGGGATGTTTGCCTCCTGAGGAGCTCTTCGTTCTGATAAGTGAAGGAAACAGACAATGACAAGAGATAATGAGGAGAGTCTTCATGGTTCATATTCCCCTGGCCCACTGAGGCAGGCTAGAGAAGTTTAGCAATCTCAAGCATGGAAGGAAGAGTTCTGCAGCGTTCAAGCTCTGCACAGGGCCTACTGGCCAACACAGACCAGAGACGTGGCATTAACACCATATCCAGCACTAATGATTATGAGCCAAAGAAAAAAGTAGGATGTTCTGCTCGGTGGCGGGGGTTGAGAAAAGAAGAATGGGTATGTGGGAGGAAGGTAGCTGAGACCAATAAGGAAGGAAGAGAATCTCTCTCATTCCTTCTGCAGTAATGAAAAAACACATTTCCTTCTAGCAATCTCCCACTCATCCACATCTTAATTCTTACAAATGCCAGAAAAGAAGGATTCCAATGCTGATCCCTAAGACCTTTCATTACCAAGAAGAGTTGGTGAGGAGAGCCTATAGAAGAACAGTGCCAATTGTTATGTGCTTTTTATTTGTTTAGATACTCTGGGGTACAGACTAATTCTCTTGGCTCAGTATTTATTATTGCTTAACCTGCCCTGAAAGGAGAACTGTAAGCACATTGATGAATGTATTTAATGGCTGTTTAGTTTCAATTCTGTACGCCCCTCTACAGTCCCTGCTGAAATGGTATTTTGTAATGTTTTACAGAAGTAATCAGTGAATCACAACAGATATCACTATGCCTCCAATAGCAACAATGCACAAGGGGACTGTGTAATTGGGTCCTACATTTTCCTCTTTTTTTTAAAATTTCTTTTCTATTAACCCCCTCCATTGACTAAGGAATTTATGTGCCTAACTGGGACCAAAGCCTAGTCCTACTGAGACAATGCAACTAACCAAGGATTGAAGTTGTTAATGAATAACAGTAATAGTTCCTCATGACTCATAGAGGAGGGACTTTAGAATGTCTGGAATTTTAAGGAAATCCATAAATCTGAGATGTAAGTGCTAATATGCCAGAGACAGTTCAGCTATGAAATTTCCTGAAGTTGAGTTATTTGCATGGATGGAAGAAAAGCACAGTGTGCCTTTCAGTCTTCACAGGTGGGAGAAAGAACATTCATTAAATTAAGTCCCATATATTAATTTTAACACGGTATTGATAAAAGAATTTTATAAAAATCATAGTTAGGTGATTCCACCCATGAAATGATGAGAGTGACATTTACAATGGGTTTGTATAAGTGCCCTAGCTCTTCTGTATGAATCCTGGGCTAGTGTGACCAAAAACTGAAATGTTAATTGCTTATTTTATCAGGTAATAGTAAGTACTTTCAATGTACATGTCAGTGTTCGTCCAAAAATCTCAAAGTACTTTACACTGGTTGGCAAGAAAATCATTGTTTGCTGAATGATACCGATAAGTGGTATCTAGGATACTGTAGTTATTGCCAATTCTAAATATAAGGAAATATTGTGATATCTCAGATAACATGGGATGGATGGTACCATTTGATATATGGTGACCACTGTATATGTTGTTATCCCCATTTTTCAGGTGGAGTGTGCAAGAGGGAATAGACACAACTGTAGATTAGAGATTTGTTCATGACCACACAGCGAGTGATAGATTAGAGAAAGTACAGAAGATTTCCAGATTCCCAGTTCCTTGATCTAATCACCAGACTACGCTGCTTCCCAGTACAGATAACTATGTGCATGGCAGAGCAATGAGGAGGGAGATACAAATAAATTGCTTGGGAAGATCACCAAAGAGATCCTTTAAAGGGAAATCAGTTTCCTAAAACAAGAAGGGACAACCTGAATTTTATAGATTAAAAGGAAATTAAAAACAGCTAAACACGGAAGAGAATTCTCTTCAAAATTGGAGCTGGATGGAAAATTTTATCAACAACAATCTCCACACACACTCCTCATTTCTCAACCAGTTCCACTCAGAGCAAGTATATGGACCCAATGTCACCCCACACTGAGGGTACGTCAAGACAGCAAAACACAAAAGAAAAAACAAGCCATAGCAATGAGTCTCAGAGAACAGGTAAACTAACTTCAGGTCATGGTGTTCATGCTGCAAAGCTAAAAATAGCAGTGTAAAGGCAGAAGTCAGACTGCAACCTGGGCTCCAAGACCCTTCTTCCTTGCCTGCTTTTGATGCCCTGTACCCCCATCTTCATTATATTTTGTATAAAGTATGCCTTGTGAGATATTACTTGAAAACTCATAATCTGCTGAACACCATTGTACTGTTATGACGTGTGTAACAATACTACATGTGAAACTATGAGATTTTACTGTGTAATGTGCTATAGTTCTGGAGAATGCCCACAGACTAATTCCTCAGAAACATACCAAAGAACTAAGCACAGGTATTAAGAAATTGTTAACTGCTTAATCAGAGATTCGCTATCAGGGGAGTTGTAAACAGGAAATTTACAATTCACCTGAAAGACGTTTGCAAGCTCACGTATTCTATGGAACTGCCTGACCCCATGACCCAGCAAAGGTTTTTACAGCACAAGGAGTTAGGGTATTAAAAGGGTGACAAAAATGCCTCTAGATCTCTCTTCTCTCCCCATCTCTACTCACAGCAGCAACATCATTTGAAAGAACGTACACTGAACTGGGCGAAGTGGTTCTAGCTGGAAGGCTTTCCAGTTAGCATGGACTGCTGAAAGTTATTGGGTGAGAGAAATCTTCTTGCTTTCTAATCTTATTTAGCTGGGTTCAGTTTAGGAATTAGATTGCGGTTTTATCTTTTATTTCTTTTGTAACCAAGTCTCACTTTTATGCCTTAAACACTTATAATCACGTAAAATCTATCTCTTTCTCTAGTTAATAAACTTGTTTTATTCTTTTATCTAAACCAATGTGTTTTGTTTGAAGTGTTTGGGAAAGCTCTGCTCAGGTTAACAAAGGCTAGTGCATAATCATTCCCTTTGATGGAATGATGGACTTTTAATGAGCTCACACTGTTCGGAGGGGACCTGAGCAGTTCAAGACGCACATTCCTGGGGTGCCAGACTGGGATCAGAAGATTTGCAGGTGTCACCCTATACATAGTTCATGAGTGGCTGGGAGAGCATTGATGTATTCAGCTGGGAGTGACTTTGCATGCTGAAGGCATCATGAGCAGGCCAGGAGTGGCTGTTCTGACAGCAAAGCAGTGTAAAAGGCACCCCAGGCTGGACAGTTAAGGGGACACAGCAAAGTTCCACAGTCCAGATTGTATCCTAGGGGATGTCACAATGGACCCAACGTCACCCCACACTGAGGGTACATCAAGACAACAACAAAAAAGCAACCATGGCTCTCACCAAAATACACATAAATGACTTAATTATTTTCAGTGTCGGAACGTCACTCAATGCAGGTGAAAGGTGTGGGCGTGGGAGCAGTCAGAGAGATAGGGACAGCTCCCTAATTCTCCTGTGCTGATGAGAGTTAGAATGCCATTATAAGAATATAGGTAAATGAATAAAACAGGCAGAATATTTCAATTAGTTTACTTCCTGGACCGTTGCTGATGAAAGTTTGTTGCCTATAATGGCACTA